ACCTTGTAAACGTACAAACGTGTCCTTATATTAGTAGGTAGAAGGGGTAAAACCTTGTAAACGTACAAACGTGTCCTTATATAAATAGGTAGAAGGGGTAAAACCTTGTAAACGTACAAACGTGTCCTTATATTAGTAGGTAGAAGGGGAAAAACCTTGTAAACGTACAAACGTGTCCTTATATTAGTAGGGAGAAGGGGTAAAACCTTGTAAACGTACAAACGTGTCCTTATATTAGTAGGGAGAAGGGGTAAAACCTTGTAAACGTACAAACGTGTCCTTATATAAATAGGTAGAAGGGGTAAAACCTTGTAAACGTACAAGCGTGTCCTTATATTAGTAGGTAGAAGGGGTAAAACATTGTAAACGTACAAATGTGTCCTTATATTATTAGGTAGAAGGGGTAAAACCTTGTAAACGTACAAACATGTCCTTATATATTAGTAGATTGATGGAGTTAAACCTTTACATATGTCTATTATAGTACGACGTGGGTGGCTACACCAAATTTGTATTTTAATTGAATTAAGTTGAACGTCAAGTACTTATGTAAGTTATTCACTTTAAAATTTGTTACTAAAGATAAATCGAAGTGTTCAATATTGATTTTGGTATATTAGGGGCGTACTACTACAGCAATACACACTCTGGACTGTTTCAATGAATTTCCAGAGTCTTCACAGGTACATTTAATTCCATTTGCATGAAGTATGCATTAGTTGTAATATGTTTATGATGTAAATTTCCGACACACTGGGGAATTACATCACCCTAAATATAGAAGGTGATGACAGTCGGGGGTCGTGGACAAATTGGATTATACCCAAGTACATGTTGGCACATGAGACTTGTTTAGGTTTTCATCATCGCTCTGTGTTGGACCTCACTACATTGAAAAGGCAGGATCTATTCAATCATCTCTCCCTTAATGTATCAATGTATCTATTGGTAATTTTTTGTAAAAGATGACATTAAATATTGCGTAAGGGATGTAGTCAGCCATCGTGACAGGAGTCCCCTTGAAGGTTATGTATAAGGTAGCTAATACAGTGGCATCTCTGCAATCTAGCCAGCTTCATTCCCTGTTAAAGTGTATGAACTGATGACAGAATTTGGTAACTGGGGTATAGAATGTTCTGTCAAGCTCTAGATTATTCTATTGTTGACAGAAAAAGGTAACTTAGCTGTAGATTGTTAGCTCACCAGCCCGAAGGGTAAGTGAGCTTATGTCGTGGTGCAGCGTCCGGCGTCGTTCA